CTCACTGCAACTTCCGCCTTCTGGGTTCAAGTGATTCTCTTGCCTCAGCCTCCCGAGTAGCTGGGACTACAGGCGTACGCCACCACACCCAGCTAATTTTTGTATTTTTAGTAGAGATGGAGTTTCACTATGTTGGCCAGGATGGTCTCGATCCCTTGACCTTGTGATCCACCCGCCTCGGCCTCCCAAACTGCTGGGATTACAGGCCACTGCACTCGGCCTGAGCTGCATGTTTTAATCCTCTTGTTTGTTAGAAAAAAAACCAAAGGGAAATCTCTTAATGGTTGGGTGTTTAAAATAGGTAATCTCAGACTATTGTATAGCGTCTAAATTCAGATAGCTTTGTTTAGTCATATTTATTTCACAATAGGAAACTCTCCAGTACAGCTCATGCCTACTATCTAATTGTAGTATGTATTGAAACAGTTGTATACTAAGTTGTAAACTTGATGAAGCAGCTAATAAAACTTGTACTCATAAGTCCCTTAACAAGTTTCTAAGAAAGAACTAGAAAATGGTTTTAATAAACATAGAAGTTATTGCTTCAAACTTGTGACACAATTTAAATGTATGACAGAGACTTTTATTTATATATTACGTATTAATTTTGTATGTATGTATGGATAGGCATGCACACATACACGGATCAACAAAGAATGTTTTTCTCTTCTTGACTCTGCAATTAGCTTTAAGTCAGTGCTTGAACCTGCCAAGTTTGAGAAGTTTACTTTTTAAAGTTTCTAATTAAACTCAGAGGGGGCAGGAAACGTATTTGTAATCAGATGCTGTCCTTCTTTGCCTCTTGATATTCTAGTTGGAAGACTGAGGGGAGCAAATAAAATTGCAAATAGAAGCTTGTCTTTAATTCTTTTGGCCTTGCTGACAAGTCATCTTGCTGGGAAATCTGGGGCACATTGGCTTGTTTCTGACACTGTCTTTGCCTCTAGTCCATAGGGATGAAGGCAGATAGTTGCTGGGAAATCCATAAGTTGTGTCACAGGTTTCCTGGCTTGTTTAGGGAGGAAGAGGCATGATTCTGTGGCAGGGAAGGATCCCATTGCTATGAGCTGTGTTTTTTGAATCTGTAATTTGGCCATTGCTGTCTTGTTCTATTCTTTCATCATTCATGTTTCTTGTTTTTTCCTTAACTAAAGCTTACATTTTATAAAACTGTCTGCATTGCTTAGATACTCCAAAGCATGTGGTAGATATTTTATAAATATTTGGACTAAAAGACTCAGAATTTCTTAGCGTAAAACTTCTGAGAGTCATCCATTCTTTGACATGGTGGATGAAAAACAGATCTGGAGAAGTCTAGATGGCTCTTCCAGGTCTCAGATCGTCTCTGCCTTTTTTTTTTTTTTTTTGCACTGTCTTTTGCTTTGGTAGGGGTATGGCCCTGTATAGGTTTAAACAAAATATTATGGATTAAATTTATACATACATATCAAATTAAAAGTCGATCCACATGAGCATGTCACATGTGTTCTAAAAGGTAATGCATTCCCTTCAAAGAATAAGGATAATTCCATGTTTACTAGAAGCTTCAGCCATTGTAGTTAATAAAGCAAAATAAAATTTCAATATGAAAGTTAGTTTTGATGAGGAAAGATTTCTTCCGCTCTTCTATCCATGATGTATTCTAAGTGCTTATCACAGTGCCTGGCAGAGGGGTGGCACTCAGTAGAGCCTTGAGTTCATTGAATGAATGAATGCGTGAATGAATAAGAGGGAAGAAGGAAGAGAGGATGGCAAGTGGAATGAAGGAAGGTCTGATGAACATTTCTGCATTTGGTTTTCAAAATACATTTTCCTAACCACAGCAACCGTCCTCGTGTGTGGCTGGTAGTGGTGGCATCAGCAGCCACCCCTCGGCTGTCCCTGCAGTAGCCATTGTATCAGAGCAGCTTGCAGATTCCTGCAGTGCCAATGGTAGCTGTTTCCCAGGAGACAGGATGTGACTGTTATTCAGGGGACCTGTTTTGAGGGCCTCAGGAATGCTTTTTCCTTTACTTGTTCTCAATATTCATTTACCTTTTGTACTCCCAATTGTCTTCTTACAGACTTTAGTAGTAGAGAGAGAAATTAGCAGGGTCCCATTGCAGGAATATCCATGCATATTTTCCTTTCTCTTGTATTGACAGTGGAAACAATTTATTAAACTTACGAACAGGATGGAGTTTTATTTCATTTCTGTTTTTCTGTTGTGCCTTTCCTCTCCCCTGTGTTATATGTTACTGTATTAGTGTTGTGGCACAGCGTCATCTAGTCTAGCAAGAGTTTCTGAGATGGCTTCTGTCCCTGCACTCTAGGAAGCCTCTTGAGCTTTTCCACTCTGGGCTCTGCTGATTGCTTTCTCCAGGTTCACATCCATCGCATACACAAAATAATGCAGGCCTAGGATCAAAGTTTTTGTCTGAGCAATGTTTAGAAGTGAAAACATCATATTTGGAGTCAGAAAAATTGAGTTTAAAGATTGTATCTATGATAGACTCATTGCATTTATGGACAATTACTTTGTATCTGAAGTTTTTCATTTTTTTTTTGAAACATGAAATTCTTGATTTTGTATGAACTAATGAGATAATGGAATGATATCTTCCTAGTGTATGTAACATATGTGCTTAGTAAATGTTAACTTATAATTACTTTTATAAATTGAAATTGTAATGGAAACCATTGTAGAGTCACATGCAGTAGTAAGAAAAAAAGGAGATCCTCTTGAGTACATGTTACGCCATTTCCCAGAATGCTAACATTTTACAAAACTATGGTACAATTGTCTTCTGTACAATTGTACAAATATATACAATTAGTTCTGTGCAATTTTGTTACCTGAGTAGGCTTGTGTATCTCCCACCGCAGTGAAGATGCTAAACAATTCCACCAGCACAAGGAGTGGTGGTGATGTCCTTTTGTAAGCAAACCCATCTCCCTTCTGCCTCATCTTCCTCCATTCCTACCCCTGGCAACCACTAATTTGTCCTCCATTTCTAAAATCTTAACATTACAAAATGTTCCATAAATGGAATCAGAATACATGATCTTTGGGGATTGGTGTTTTTCACTCAGCATAGCTATGGGGCAGTTGACCCAAGTTGTTAGGTACATCATTAATTCGCTCCTTTTTATTGCTGAGTAGTATTTAATACTGTGGATGGACCACAGTATATTATTTACCAGTTGAAGCACATCTGGGCTGTTTCTGTTGTTTGGCTATTATGAATAAAGCTCCTATAAACACGATGTGCACAGATTTTTATATGAATGAAAGTTTACATTTCTCTGGGATGAATCTCCAAGAGAGCAATGGTTAGGTTGTGTTTTAAGACTTACCATCAGGAGTCATGGTTCCCTGGTGAGATAGTTTCATTCTGTGTGTAAATGGAGGTAAAAATAACATTCATGTGGATCTTTTAAATGATAGCCTGACAACTGACACTTAGTAATCAATTAATCAGATTAAGAAAATTGATAACCCTTTTACTCGTTCGTTCGTTCGTTCTTTTTTTGAGACTGAATTTTGTTCTTGTTGCCCAGGCTGGAGTGCAGTGGCACAATCTCGGCTCACTGCAACCTCTGCCTCCTGGATTCAAACGATTCTCCTGTGTCAGCCCCCTGAGTAGCTGGGATTACAGGCTTATGCCACCACGTCCACCTAATTTTTAGTAGAGATGAGGTTTCACCATATTGGCCAGGCTAGTCTTGAACTCCTGACCTCAGGTGATCTGCCTGCCTCGGCCTCCCAAAGTGCTAGGATTATAGGCCTGAGCCACCATGCCCAGCCCTGGTTCCTTCTTTTTTGCCTTAATTTCTCTGAAGTGGCTCCACCATCTCAAAAAAGTCTACCATTCTTAGAACCTCCAGGCATGTAGGCCTTTTCCTCTTCTCTTGCTTCTCCAACTATCAAAGAATAGCTAATGCCCTCTTGATTTTGCCACTGTGGACATTTTTATATTGTTTTGCTCTTGATTCATAGCTCTACTGTCTGATGTTCAGTTGTCATAGTCTCTTCACTGCATTATTAATAGGCTGTGTTTCCTTGTGTCTCTGTCCTAAAGTGAAGTCTTCTGCAACCCGGCCACAGCTGACCTTTGTGTCAGTAGGTCCCAATTCTCCCCTTGAAGGCCATGGTCACGATCACCTCAGGGCCTTCACGTGTGCCCAGGACTGAGCCTGGTCCTCCTCACACTATTAGCACCTTCTCATCCTGCAGCTATTGGCGCAAATTTTACCTCCTCATGGGAGGTCCTCCGGGTGTGTATTCTTCTAGTACCCTGCACTCTTCTTTCATTACACTTACTGTATTTTTTTTTCACTTATGTAAAACTTACTACCCCACATGGTCCAGTGTGGTCAGAGAGTTAATTTCAGAACCTTCAGAAAAGGTTTAGATTACCTAAAGCAATCTAAATCTTAAGGTTGTCTCTGGATGGAAAACAACTACAATCCTAATGTGTGTATGGCAGTGGGTTTAACATACAGTGCAACCTTAAAAGTCTTCTTTAGACTTTGTTTCATGTTCAGGATGTCTCACAGGCTCGACTCTGGCTTTGGGTGGGGAATCCTTTCTATTTGCCGAAACTCGTGGAGAGGGAACCCCAAAGCCTCTTCCATCTCCATGTCCCCATCTCCCATTCAAGCAGTTTACTCACCAACAAGTTGCCGTCTGTGCCAACTCACTATCCTGTGAGCTTCCTTTCTTTTCCTACGGTGTACGTGCCATCCCCCACAACCCCATGAAGTATCCTTTCACTGTGGGTTTTCTAAATTGGGCTTCTGTCTAACTCATTCACTACCTATTGACCTCCCTGAAGATTGGGGTGGAGTCTTACCTATCTTTGTAATCTAGAACCTGGAATATTGACTAGCAGATGTTAGGCACATTAATGAATGAATTGGTGAAAGAATAAATGAAATTATATGTCTTATATATAGCAGATACTTGAAAAAAGTTAGACGAAATGAATAAGTAATGTAAATCTTTCTTAATTTTCCAGGTGATTTTTGAAGTGATAACTTCTGGACATCAAGGCTATCTCGCTATCGATGAGGTGAAGGTGTTAGGACATCCGTGTAGTAAGTTGTCTTTACTTGTAAATATTTGGGTACATCATTGGGGGCATATTTACATGATGAATGAAGAGAAGGGATGAAAACCTGTGAAGAGGTCATCCTGCCAAGACACCTCCCTGACAGACCTGTATGTGTTGGTTTGCCAGCCCAGAAATCCAAAAGCATGTACTTAGTGTAAATGCCATGGTTTGTATAAGTCTAAGTATTTTAAAATTTGGTTCAGGAATGGGGAATCAAGGAATTCTTTGGCACGCTCAGACATCTTTGCAAAGAACCTGTTTATTTGTTGCCATGGACTTTGGAATTCCCTTTTCAGTAGTAGCACAAGGTTAAATATTGAGAATCTGCATTTTGTTTCTAAGTCCAGTATGTTTTTGGCACAGTTCCTTAGTATTTATTACATGGTTTCAGATGATATAGCTGCAAACAGGCCTGGGATCTGTCAAATATAAGATACCTACCTAAACCTGGGGATCCCAGAAATGGCCTGCTCTTCATCTTTTAAAGATTAGTACTTTAAAATAGTACAATTGGTGATAAGCGTATAATTTTAAAAATATCTACTATGAACAACGAACAGTTTATCATATTTGTATGTGAACCTTTTTCCTTAAAATAGTGCAGATTGCTAGATCTATTTCTCCCCAAACCCCGCCCCCCAGGGGCCACCACAGTGGTGAGCTGGTTGTTGCACCTGTTATGGTTTCTAGTCTGCACACAGCAATAGACTGTAGCTGCTTGAAGCAGAAAAGGCATCCTATTGAAAGAGAATTGGAGGGCAGTGGTATTCCTGATATCACTGGTAGTCTAGGCTCAGATGATGAGCAGGCCCACAAAGTGAGGCTATGCAAGCAGCCACAGTAACCACTATGGCAGTGGAGCCAGCCGCGAGGTCAAGGGGAGCTGGCGCTGTGTCTCTGCGCACCTTACCCTTGGAAGATGACCCTTGCCCTAGACATTCTGCACTGACTCTGGGCCTTGGCATCTTTAGCTTTAGGTGCAAAACCCTGAGGGGCATAGTCAGAGTGAGCGAGCTAGATCACACACTCATTCATGCCTGGCAATTGGTGTGACTAGGCACGTGAGTTGTTGACTTTTCCCACTCTGTCAAGGGAGCTGGGCCTCAACTTTTACCGAGAAACATACAGTGCCGAGCAACTGAACACTGCAAATGTGTGTGTGTGTGTGTGTGTGTGTGTGTATGTACACTCTTTCTCATAATCCCCATGGGTTTATAAAAGCAAAAAAGTAAGGATTGCCTTTTGTAAATGCTAATGAATGGTTTCTAACCATACAAATTTCTCTGTATTCCACCTTTTTTTTTTTTTTTACTTAGTGTTAGATGTTTTAGGTCAATCCATGGTATTCTATCATATGGATTTACTAGTTCTATTTTTCTAGTATTTTATGAACATTTAGTGTTCCCCCCCATTTTTCTATATTAAATATTGCTGCAGTGAGCGTTATGGATGTGCCTCCTGGTGCAGTGTTGAGAGCCTCAGTGGAGTGTGTTCTTAGAGGCTGAATTGCGGGGATGTAGTGCAGACACATTTTTAATTTTTTTGGATGCTGCCAAAATGCTATGAAAAGTGTCTGAACCAGTTTATAATCCCACCAGCAATGCATGGTGGCTTTATTTTCCCTATATCTTTGTTCAAAATTGATGTCACCAGACTTCAAATTTTTGACCATCTGAGGGATGGTAACCTGCTTTATTTTTAGGATCTCTGGCATGAAAGAGAAACTGGCTAGTTCATACATTTCACGGGTCTTTCCTGATGAACCCTACCCAAAATTATGAAAGAGTGGCTATATCTACAATAATAAAAATAGAAACATTTGCAGGAGTGGCTCAGCTTTTTATTGCATGGATTCGAATAGATCACCAGGACCCTCTTTGTAAGCTTTATAGAGAAGGCCTGTGTGGTTGTTACCTGATGAAGGTATCGCAACACAGGTGTCTAAATTCCATCTAAAGGGGTTTTGCTGTCTCTCATATCTTTATTTGGTGCTTTGAAGCTTGCCAAACGTTGAAGATAACAGAAAGCAATCATTTGTTCATTACAAAGGCAGATGTTACTTTTGTGTCATGTTACATTTGTCTTTTCTTCTGTTGTCAGCAAAACTGGGGAGTTCAAGAAGATTCCTGTCCCCTCCCATTTCCCCAGGAAAACCATCAAGGCTGTACCTAATTGAAACAGCAGGGTAAATTTAGGAGCAGAATGCAATTACCTGAGCTGGAACTCAGCCAAATCCTTGGAGTAATAGCCTCCAGCTAGAAAAGTGCCATGAGATCTTCTAATATGCACAAAGTTCATGGTCTCTGATTCACTTCTTACTAGGAGGTTAAAAAAATAAGAGCCAGTAATTGCATGCCTACTAAGTGCTGAGCACTCTAATGAAATAGTCTGCCTCCTTGTTTCTTAGAGCAGACAGAGCTCATGGCAAGGCAGGTGTACTGGGTGCAGGTGTGGTGGCTGAGTCAAGGCTGCACATGGCTTTCTATTACATATCCTGGGCTCCTTCTTCCACATCTGGCCACTAGCCAACATAATAGCTCCTGAAGTGTAGCCCCTTCCATTTTACTGGATTTTAGTCATTGTGTGCAGCAAAGACCTAAAGACTTCATGCTTATCAGTGCCTTCCTAAAACGTGTCTCATGCAATTTTGTTCTTCCCATAGGAGATAGCTTCCTATGACTATAGAAATGGTGTTTATGTTCTCTCCTTTGGAGAATACCTGTGCTAATACCTAACTGGCTTTGGGAACTGCTGTGAGGGCACAGAATTGCAAAACAGGCTCTGTACCAAAGTGATGTATGGTACAACAGCGTTGTGAGCTGTAAGCCTTAAATGGTTTTGATGATAGCTCTTCCTTAGCTATGTTTTCGTGAATCTCTAAGTTAATGGGGAAAACATGCAAATAAAAATTTTAAAGAAGGCAATAGTTTGTTCTTAAAATGGAAAGCTTTACAGGTAATATTTTATGAGATTTCTTATCAGGATTTCATAATAATGAATTATTTTGAAATTTTGATGTTCATTAAATTTAAATCCTAAAGTAGCATTAATATTTTATATCTAAAACTATGCTTTCCAAATGGCTGCAAAATTGCTGAATCTCATTTGCTTCACTGTAAAGGCTCTTATTTGGATTCATATAGGTTTATGAGTAGGCATTACAACATTTTTTAATATTAGATAGTCTGATACAAGTATACAGTTGCTCATAAAGTTGACTTTAATGTAGTGACAATAAGATGCAAGATCAGCCTGAAATGTGGAGATGACTGTGCAGAATCAGCAGCTCTCTAGCGTACAACCACTTCTGATAAACAGATAATTTTTGCATTTGGTATGCACACTAAAAATATATTTGGAATTTGGTTCAATAATCCTGGTAAGAAAAGAGGCGTTTTATTATAATAGCTTCCTAATGTTGTCTCCTGTTCTTAAATACATTGTGAGCTGTGCATATATGGGCATTTCTCTTATTACCTTGTGGTACTGATAATGTATTTTTATGTCTTAAAAGCCATATGTAATTTTAATAGATTTATTGACATATCACTCACATAATTTATCCATATTTAAAGTGTACAATTCAATAGTTTTTAGTTTATTCACAGAGTTATGTAACCACGACCATAATCAGATTTAAAATATCTTCAACATCCGCCAAAAGACCCAGTACCCGTTAATAGTCATTTTTCACTTTCTCTTGTTACTGGTGGAGGTTGTCCAGGTTCTTGGCGTCTTGAACAAAGATTTGGACAAAACGCACAAAGCAAGGAAAGAATGAAGCAACAAAAGCAGAGATTTATTGAAAATGAAAGCACCCTCCACAGGATGGGAGCAGTCCGAGCAAGTGGCTCAAGAGCCTCATGACTGAATTTTCTGGGGTTTAAAATACCCTGTAGAGGTTTCCCATTGGTTACCTGGTGTACACCCTATGTAAGTGAAGTAGTGGTCCGTGATCAGTCTGATTGGTTGTGGGAGGGGACCAATCAGAGGCTGAAGTGAAGATACAAAGTTACACCCTCTGCAAAACATCTGATTGGTTGCAGAAAGTGACCAATCAGAGACTGAAGTGCAGTTACAAAGTTATACTCCTATGCAAATGAAAGCTTGGCCCAAGACCAGCCTGATTAGTTGTGGGAGGTGACCAATCAGAGGTACTTTCAATTTTTCATCTGCCACCCAGAAAAAGTGGGGAGAGGCAGTGTGCAAAGGAAGTAGTTTCTGGTCCTTTTGTCACTTGGGTGTGGCAAGTTGGGATTTTCCTTTTGATTTAGTTCTAGGAAGTCAGCATGATTTGGCCTTAGGTTCCCTGCCTCTAGACTCTCTTCTCCTGACTTACTCTGGCCACCACTCCTAGCCCTAGGCAACCATTAATTTGCTTGTCGTCTCTGTAGATTTGCTTGTTCTCCGTATTCATTTAAATGCAGCCGCACTATATGTGGCCCTTTGTGTCTGGCTTCTTTCACTTAGCATGTTTCAAAGTTCATCAGTGTTGTAGTGTACATCAATATTTCACTCTTTCTGAAAACTCTTTCTTAAAAATAGTGTTTTATTGTATGGATATACCACATTTTATGTAAGCATGCATCAGTTGATGGACATTCAGGTTGTTTTCACCTTTGGGCTATTGGGAATAATGCTGCTGTGAACATTTGTTATCAGTTCTCTTGGGTATCATTCTCTCAGACATATACTTAGGAGTAGAATTGCTGGGTCACATTGTAACTCTGTTTTTAGCATTTTGAAGAACTGTGAAGTTGTTTTTTAAATTGGCTGCACCATTTTCCATTTCAAACAACAGTGTATGATTTCAATTTCTTCATATTCTTGTGAATATTTATGTCTTTAAAAAAATCATAGCCATCCTTGTGAGTTTCAGGTGGCACCTGTTTGTAGTTTGGATTACCTAATGGCTAATGATGTTGCGCATCTTTCCATGTGTTTATTGGCCATTTATATATATGTTTGAGAGAAATGTCTATT